ACGTTACAATATTTATATCATATTTATTTAGGTTCGATACGAAATGGACAATATTACGCCATAGTGGGTCAACAAAGTGGGCAAAGCCTGATTCTTTTTAACTTGTTGGTAAAACAATTTGATATTGACATATATTTTTTGTGTTACTTATCTCCCGGTTCTATAAATTATGGAAGAAAATGAAAAAAATCCAATTTTGTATAGTAAACAGAGCGTAGTGAAAGCAGCACTTAGAGGTATCATACCCTCTATTGTTATACTCGCCTCAAGTTTTATTATACTCTCCACCATACTATGGAGGGTATATTAACTTTGTCATTCCGTCCCGATTTTCGGTCTTTTGATGATTTTTCCGACATTATTCACTGAAATTGTTTTAAATTTGGTATTTGAAGTTCCAAAGGGATACAACAGCCTTAGACAGAAAATTGGCTGTGCAGGTCCACGCCCCCATATAACTGTACCTCCCGATATTCGGTATTTTGATGTGTTTTCCGACATTATTCACTGAAATTGTTTCAAATTTGGTATTTGAAGTTCGTAATGGATACTACAACCTATGACTGAAAGTTGTCTATGCAAGTCCAGGTCTTCGTATAGGCCCTATATATCAGTACACCCCTATATTCGGTATTTTGACGATTTTAAGTACAATACTCACCGAAATTGTTTGAGATGTCACATTTGAAGTTCGTAATGGATGCTACAGGCTGTAGCAGAAAGTTGTCTATGCAAGTCCAGGTCTTTGTATAGCTCCGATGTAACGATACCCCCCTATGTACGGTATTTTGATGATTTTAGCTACATTATTCACCGTTTATTTCAAGTTTCGAATTTGAATATGGTAATGGCTTATGACTATGGACCACGTCGTTTGGAGCCCAATATAACGGCTATATTCGTTATTTTGTAGATTTTAACAGCTTTTTACGGGTTTTATTTTTTGAAAATTTCCAAATTCATTCAAATTGTGGAGGGAACTTACTCCTTTTTAACTTGTTTATATATAAAAAAAGGTACATCTACCTGTTGTACAACATAGATTCCACGTATTGCATGAACATTTTTAATTCGCTTAAGCCAAATTTAATACAACTTTCACCTGTATGCTTGTATGCGATGTTATCTAAATACTCACTCTAGTGCCATTTCGCTATGGTATGTACTATGAAATCACGCTTTCTCTCACTCTCTGAAATGCTATAAATGTTGTTACGGTATAACACAAATATCTTCCCTAAATTAAATTTGCCGAGCGGCCATTATAGTTTGGCATGCCTTTTATCCACATCCGTTGGCCTTTGTAACTATGTATTTTTATTATTTTTTTTTTTTTTTTTGACTTTTTTTCAACGTTGACCGAGTTATTCAGTTGTATTTTTATTCAAACACACTCCTTTTCACTGTTTTATAGTCATTTCAAGGCCGGTCCCTGATGACTGACCAACACATGTACCCATTATTTATGTACATACATTTATATTCACTCATCGCCACAAGATAGCAATAACACATTTTCACACACACACATACACACTGAAAATGCGAGCACACACACACACGATAAAACATATTTATATAACATTTTAGCACTTAAATTGCCTGCCAAATGTGGGATGTCCAACACCTCTCAATAGATCCCATACATTTTCCCCATAAAATATTTACAAACAATTAAAATTTTATTAAATATCTTGGTGTCTATAAAAATATTAAATTGTAGTTTGGATGGAATATTAAACTTTGTCGTTAGACTCATTATTCATCCATCTCTTTTATATGGGATATCAACACCATTAACGATGTGTATGTAAGTCTCGATAAGTGGAAAGTTATTGGGGAAGTAACGAAAATTTGAACCATTTTGGAACATCTGGAAGAAATGCTTTCAATGCATCAAAAAAAAAAAAAAAAAAAAAAAAACAAATAACTATATCGACTACTTCCTATACTTTATATTAAATATTTGATAATTTTTGGAAAATGTTGAAATATGCGAGGGGTACCAGGTGTAGTGAACGGAAGCATTCCACATCATTAAATGCTAATAAAATATTCGTTTGTGCAAAATTTACAGAAAATCGAATACTTGTTACCACTTTGATGCTAATACTTGCTAATCAAAAGAATAATTTATTTCAGATCTCTGTTGGATGGAAAAACAGGGTGAGAAAAAAACTGCAAAAAAGTCAAACGGCATATTTATACTCTACACCATACATGGGAGCTCATATATATTGTTCATCCGATTTGTTGTATTAGTTACCCACAGCCATAATATGCACTCCGTAACAACGATAAAATTTTGCTCAAATGTATATTATGTCTGCAGAACTTTTGGTATTGAAAATGGGCCATGTAGCTCCACGTTTTGGCATATCCCCCATATAATGGTACGTCCCGATATTCGGTATTATATGATATATATATGATTTTTGCGACATTATTCACGGGAATTGTTTCAAATTTGGCATTTGAAGTTGGAAATGGATACTACAGCCCATAATTGTCTGTCCAGGTCCACGTCCTCGTATAGCACCCATATAACTATACCTCCCGATATTCGGTATTTTGATGACACTGGACTTGTTTCAAATTTGGTATTTGAAGTTCGTAATGGCTTCTACAGCCTGTGACAGAAAATTGTTTATACAGGTTCACGTCTTCGTAGAGCCCCCATATAACGGTACCTCCCTATATACGGTATTTTGATGATTTTTGTTATATTATCCACCGTTTATTTGCAGGTGACGTCGTATTGACCCCAATATAACGGCTATATTTATTTTAAAGATTTTAACAGAATTTTTAATGGATATTATTTTTTGAAAATGACCAAATTAGTTCCAAATGGTGGAAGTATTAAAAGTTCGAACCGACCGAACTTAGCTTCTTGTGATGGATCTTTTTAAGCGGAAATGGTACTAAGGTGGTTCAGCTACGACTTAGCTCGCCGGATGGGGAGGTTCTTTTTCCGCAGATCTATACATTTAAAATTTGTGTACCATATGCTTTGATTTGAAAACGGAAATTTAATATTTTAAGTAGACAAAAAAGAATAAACAACATTGTAGACGGATGAACTCTTAACATTACCTTGTATTCATTCAATTCGAATTAATTACTATCAGAATTCTACGTCGTGCGAGGATAGATTTTACTCCTCATTGGCTACCCACCCCTTATGACGTATTTCAGTCATCCTTTTTGGTATTTTCTTGCCAATTTATTTGAAAATACCCCAAGAAAGTTTACACGGCTATCTGGCAACCGTTCAGCCCATAATTTTAATATTTTAACACATGTTTACTTCATGTAATCGAATACACATTTTATTATATAGAGTCCTAAACACATTTGTTGTTTAATTTTTTTTATACATTTTGAACAATAACACAATTTTTTTTATTTCTGTTAAATATACGTATCAATAATAATAATTTTTAATACCTATCTATAAAAATATACGATTATATTTATGTTCTAAGCATGCGTTTTTTTTTTAATATTTTCTTTAATTATAAAATTTTAATTATATTTTTTTTAATTTTTTTCTTACATTTTTATTTATTTTAATATCATTTCATTTTTGATTTTTTTTTTTTTTAATATTTTTCATATTTTTAAATATGTGTAATAATTGTTTTAAAGGTTATGTTATGCATATATATCCGTATTTTGCCATGTTTTTTGTTTTTTTAGAATCTTTGTTCAACTTTTTGTATTTCTTTTGTCATGCAAAATTAAATTTCAATTATGTCTGTTCCACCCTAATATTCCTCTTAGGCTTAGAAAAAAGTTTGCGCCTTAAGTTATGCTCTGGTGTTTTTTTTTTTTTTAGGTTAAGAGGTTTAATTCACTAGGTTTACACCACGTGCAAGAAAAACTAATATTGAATAGAATTGGTGTACACTATGAATGGTGGATGACAATATATTTGTTTTAAATTTATAAAATTTCCTTTCTCAGCTTTTTAGCAATTTGCTTCGATTTTCCTTTCCTTTTGTTTTATAAATTGATTTCAGGGTCTATTATCTATAGGTTTGTGTACTTACTGCAACAATTTTTAAATACATCAGTTTTGCAAACCACGTGGTGAAAATTTGGTTGTGTCAGAGGTGAGGTAATCTTACCTCGAACTCGCTCGGTATATTGTAGATGTCGTTCGTTATATTATTTGGCGCTTTACCAAGGTAATCCTTGAAGTCAATGATAATTTTAACACAATATCCTGTATTAAATGTAACATTAGTGATTTCATTGAACAAAGAGATACTATTTTTTTGTCTTATGTTTTAAAACGTATGCTTACCCGAGCAGAAACTTTTACACAAAACTCACAATAAAAATAAATCACGACAAATGTATAAAAAATTGTGAGTGCTGCTTTTAGATTCTATTTAATAAAACAGAAATTAATGTAAGAAGGAAATCAATAAAAAAAAAACTGTTTTTATACACACATTAAGTTTGGATTTTTCGTTACAATTTTATTTTGAACTTTTATGGTGAAATTATATTTGTCACCTTGACACTCTGAAACCTTCTGCCAAAAAATTTCTGGATATCAATTTAGGTAACTTTAAGGTGACTTTTATGAAGGTCAGTTCCCACATGGAGTTGAAGTTACAGAGTTGAAATATTGATCTCTTTGCAACTATGGTGGGACTTGAATTCGTGATGCAGTTGCCTTTCAATGTGTATAGATGGCGAAAGCGTATAGCATTGCCACATTAAAAACAATGAACGAAATGTTCATAATTCTATTAATAATATATAATTTTCATATACCTCTTTGTATTAAGAATACCAAAAAAAAAGTTCGAACAGGGGGAAACACATAAATTAATATATTTATATATTAATTAATTAAATAAATTTGGGCATGAAAATATGTACGCTGAGTGATTTCTGTCAGTATGTAGGGTAGGAGATATATTCTGAAACCTACTGTGAAATGATCACACAAGATATAAAGTGGTGTTTTCCAACACTACTACTTTGCCAAATGTCAAAGCAACAATATTTATTCTATAGCAGTGAAAGTTAAAGAAAAGTTTTGCTTACTAAAAAATAAATATAAGAGCAAACATTACAGCCAAGGGTGGCTGTCACAAAGCCAATTCTTTTTGTGTAGCCAGTGTAACAAAAAGAGTTGGGAATTCGTAATGTTTGGATGTAAGTATAAAACAAGATATTTTACCAGTTTGTCATTTAATCATGTTGCATTCTCTTGTTTTGCCTGTTGTAGCTGTTCGTCCTGGAGTAGAAGGTGACCAACTAGGGTGACGAAAAAACAACAGTTTGTGTGCGCTAGTTAGCTACCTGTTCAAAATAGGAAAATATTGGGCTGTGATACAAACATAAGATGTTTGGACAATGAGGCGATAATTAACAGCTGAAATCATTGGGAAATTTGTGATATGATGAGGTACCTGCAAATGTGAAAGGGGAAAATATCCTTCCATAGATTCATGGTTTCAGACCAAATTCTTATTTTTTTTTTAGGTATATTGGAGTTTTTTCATAAGTTTGTTATACCATCTTTGGAAGCTGTTAAATATCTGATGGGCATATTATATTTAGTCGGAAGAACACTGTATACAGTAACTGCCTATACATAAATGATATTTTTTTTTATGGAAGCGAACAACATTGTGTGCAGAACAGGCTTATAAGACAGATCTAAAAGGACCAATAAGAAGACAATGGAAATTTTGTTGAACAGATGAGTTTTCTTTTTTTTTTTTACTTCTGTCAAGTTTCTTTATACTAATGTTTTTCTTTTTCTTTGCAGCATTTTTTTAATATGGGACTATATTAATGTTCTTTTCCATTTCAGGTGAATTGAATTGCTGAATAAATTGACTGCGTGGAGAATTGCTTTGTATGGATTTCAGAAGGAATGCTGTGGAGTTGCAAACGGGAATTGGTAAAACTACTTAACGACATTAGTTTATAGATATAGATATAGTTTTTAATATGTATTTTTTTATTGCTTTAAGTGTTGGGCGTGAATGATGCCAATTAGTTGTCCCTTTAAATTTTCAATTTCGTATTGACAGTTCCCTAAAGGTTTTCTAATGCGACATTTAAGCCACGGTTTACATAGTTTGGCATTGATACCTTTTGCAAAATCGCTTTGCACAAAATTTTTTCTGTATACTTCTTGTCCAGGTTTGAAAGATACAATTTTACATCGTTTATTGTATGTAGATTTATTTCGCTCATATGCGTCATGCATTCTTTTGTCTACCTTTTTATGCAAAATTTGCATTCGGTCAGACATAGGTAATATGTTTATTTCTCCATCTTCTAAAGCGTTTAGTTTTCGAAGTATTTTGTATGCATCAGCATGTGTAATCATATGGTAACCTATAAGGGCAAAGTAGGGAGATGTACCTGTTGAGGCATGAATTGTCGATCGTAAGGCACACTCTATTTTGGGTAGACATTCATCCCACTTGGAATGGTCTGTTTGCAGGTAGCTGCGAATACTACTTAATATTGTTTGATTAACACGCTCACTTGCATTTGCCTGTGGCGAATGTATGGCAGTGCGCATATGTTTAATACCGAATGCTGATAGCAATTCTTTGAACGCTTCTGATGTGAATTGTTTGCCATTATCCGAGTGTATACACTCAGGTACGCCGAATTTATAAAATATTTCCTCCACAAGGAATTTATTGACTTGGGCAACGGTCGCTTTTGTCATCGACTTGAGCAGAACGAATTTCGTTTTGTGATCTAAAACAATAAAAATATGTGTCTTACCAGATTTTGACCTGGGGTATGGCCCTAGAAAATCTATATAAATTTTCTGAAATGGTCTTTGAGTTATAACCTCATTACCCATTGGTGGTCGTAAAATTTGTTTTGGGTGTTTAATCTCTTTACACGTATTACAATTGTTTACAAAAGTCTTGATTTCGTGTACCATTGATGGCCAATAGAAAAATTGTCTAATGCCGTGAAGAGTTTTTGTTATACCACTATGACATGTGTTGTTGTGTATTTTATTTATTATATGGTTGGTGAGTGTATCTGGAAGCCATATTCTCCAACATTCATCATCGTTTTCCACATTTGAACGATTAAATTTTACTTTTTTATAAATTATGCCTTCTTTAACCTTTAAGTCAGGCAAACAACTTTCATTTTGTTCGATAGTTTGGATTAGAGACAGGTATTTTGGACTTTTAAAATCGTCAGAGTCTAGATTAATAAAAGATGAATTATCAGTAGAAATTTCCTCCATATCCAAACGAGATAACATATCTGGGACTACATTTTTAGATCCTTTCCTATGCTCTATGTTAAAACTATAGCCTTGGAGTTTCAAACTCCATCGTGCTAATCTACCGTTTAAGTCTTTTTGCTTCATTAACCATTGGAGACTAGAATGGTCCGTAATCACAGTAAAATCCATCATTTCAATATATTGTCTAAATCTTTCAATGGCAAGCAAAACGGCTAAACACTCTTTTTCTGTTGTAGAGTAATTTCGTTGAGCGCTGTTTAGTTTCTTTGAGAAATACTCGATTGGGTGTTCACCGTCATCGTCATCTTTTTGAAACAGAACTGCGCCAACTCCTACATTAGACGCATCGCATTGGATAAAAAACGGTCTCGAAAAGTCTGGACTCGAAAGTACTGGACTTGATACCAAACTATGCTTTAGCTTTTCAAAAGATTCTATAGCTTGAGGCGTCATATTGAACTTAGGTGTTTTCTTTAGCATATCGGTTAATGCAGCAGTTAATGTTGAAAAATCATGAATGAAGCGGCGATACCAGCCGACAGTACCAAGAAATCTCCTTACATCTTTTTGTGATTTCGGCGGTTTTATATTCATGATTGCTTCTACTTTGCTTGGATCAGGCTTCAGTTTACCAGCACCAACAATATATCCAAGATATTTAAGCTCTTTGTAGCAGAATTTGGATTTTTCCATGTTAATTGTCAGTCCAGCTTGTGTTAATTTGTCACCTACGATCTTCAATATTTCCATATGGACTTCAAAGTTTTGTGACACAACCAAGAGATCGTCCAGGTACACAAATACACGGTCTTTCAACACTGGAGGGATCACTTTGTCCATTAGTCTGCACATCCTTTGAGCCGCATTGCACAGTCCAAAAGGCATAACCTTGAATTGGTAGTGAGGTCTACCTTGGACTGTAAATGCTGTTAAGGGGCGACTTGATTCCTCCAGCGGAATTTGCCAGAATGCGTCTTTTAGATCTATAGCTGAAATATAGTATGTGTCACCTAATCTTGCCAGAAGTCCGTCTATGTTAGGTAGGGGATAAGCATCTTTGCGTGTAACTTTATTTAGTTCCCTTGCATCTAAACAAAGGCGATTTTTATTGGGTTTTATCACTAAAGTTACCCTATTATTCCAATCTGAATTTTTCGCTACTTCAATAACATTTAGTTTTATCATTCGGTCTAATTCATCATACATTAACTTCTGTACGGCAGGACTGACGGGATAATACCTCATCTTTTTAGGATCTGCATTTCCTATGTCGATACTATGCTGTTCTAAATGTGTCTTACCTAAACCATATTTTGTGTAGCAACGAAAAGCAAGTTTAGTTTTCTCCAAGACTATATTCTGTTCATGTGTTAACACATGTATCTTTTTGTCTTTTTCACCATTTGATAAACCGCTAGTAATTTCATTTATATCTGGTTCAAATGAAATTTTCAGATTTAGTGCTTTCCAAAAATCATATCCCAAGATTAGGGCTTGTTTTAAACTTGGAACCAGATAAAAAGTCATTTCCTTTATTTTATTTCCACATTGAACACTAGTCTTTATTTTGCCAATGATTTGTTGTTGTTTGCCATCAGCTGTCCTAATATTGGATTTAAAATTTAGTATTTGGGCATTTATCATTTCGGCATTTTCTAAGCACTTGTTACCAAGGCAGCTAATAGAAGCACCGCTGTCCATTAGACCAGTAAAGTTAAAACCATTTAGTTTGACATTCATATATGGTCTTATGTCATCATCAATTTCTAGACAAGCTGAAGCAATTTCCTTTCTTTCAATTTTTCTATTTCTATAAAGTCTTCTTGTTTTTGCAATCTTTTTGGTAACTTCTGGCTGAAAATCTTTAAAAATCTCATCTCTTTTTTTCTTATATTCCTCTAACCTTTGTTCGTATGGAATAATAGTTTTTAACATGGTTGTTGTAGCTGGTATATTTTGCTTTAGGGTATGTAAAACGGTTGGTTGGATATTTTGAGTATTTATTGGGTATTCTGGGATATGTATTTTTGTGAACATGAGGTCCCAGTCGGCCTCATGCTCTTTTGTTGGTTTCCCACACATTTGGGACATTTTGGTGAAGTCACACCATCGAACCCACATTTAAAACAGAAAATATTTCTTTGCTCCAAGTCACATTCGATATAAGTATGACCCACTGTCTTACAGTTCCAACATGTTAAAGTTTTTGTATTTAAATTTGAGTTATGTAGAGCTTCAACTTCAGTGGTTTCATGGAAATTTTCATCCTGATTAAAATTGATTTCATGAACTCTTCTGACGTTGTTTTGGTGTAGTTGACGATATGCGAGTCTCTTTGATAGGGTTACCTCTGCTCGTTTACATTCTTCTATCAAGTCGTCGATAGAGTTAATACTTTTTGCATAGATAAGTTGGACTAATCCATCTTTCAAATTGTCTTTAATTATTTGTACAATTTCAAAATCAGGGATGGGAGTTCTCATTTGATTTTGAAGCTTGACAATTTCAGATATGTAAATGTCGGCAGATTCTGAGGGTAACTGTCTACGCTCAATAATTTTCCTTTGTATTTCGAAATCACTCTCGTAATTTCGGAACTTTTTTATGAAATGATACTTTAATACTGCCCATTCGCAATGAGGATTCTTCTGACGAAATTGCCAGATCCAGTCATGCGCTCTGCCTGCCAGCATATGGTGGAAACCTTTAATAAAAGTATCCCATGGGCAATTATAATCAAGTCTTAGAGATTCGGCTCTGAAGACGAACTCTTCTACACTTATTAGCTTCGATGAACCGTCATATCTTAAACCCCATTTCTGAAGTTGTAAAGGTGTAATGGGTTTGACACCCATAGCAAAATTTTGATTAATATTTTGAGAATACTGTTGATATGGATTGTGGTATTGGTTAGGTTGTTGTTGCTGTCGGTAATTAGTATTTGAATTTGGGGCATTGGGCCTTTGTTCTTGATTGTCATTTGATTGATCTTGGGTGTGGTCTAAAGACAGATTTCTTATGGAATCAATCGAATGCCTAACGACCTGTGGAATCATGACAGCAAGTCTGTCTTCCAAAGTTTTCATCGCTTCGGATTGTGCAAGTCTAACTGAGGCTGAGATAAATTCTCGTAAGCTTGGTCCATTGGAATGATTTATAGGAGCTTCTAAATTTATTTTCGGGTTTGAAATTGGCAATATTGGATCCTGCTGATTTGAAGCTGTTGGGAATTGTGAATCATGTTGGTTCATTCTTTCAAATTCTCGTCTAACTTGATCGGCAGTAATGCTGCTGTATTCGGGTCTCATTATAGAAGAAACTGATTCCGGTGATGAAGTTGTTTGTAAACCTGTTGGTAGTGACATTAGGGGAGGAATACCAGATTGAATAAGAGTTCTATTTGTACTCTGTGTTGATGTATTCACTGTTGGATTAATAGTTTGATTTTGCATGGTATTGTTTTCTAACAAAAGGCTACTTGGAGGATTGTTATTATTTGCTGGAGCAGCGTTGGAAGTGCTGGGATTAGCAACGTTTGGGGCACTTGCAGTTGAATTACTTTTACCCGCAATTCTGCTTGAAGACCTAGTTCCAGTGTTAGAGTTTTTACTAGACATTGTAACAGTTAATTAGAAATGTATTTATGACAAAATGTATGCAAAAAGTGAATTGCGTAGATTAAAATGGGTGATTAGATTTTGAGCTTAAAGTTTCTCTTAAATTCAGTATTTAATTTATAATGTAGTCTTAAAATTTGGTATTGAATATAAATTGTTTTTAATTAATGAAAAAAATATAATATTTTTAATATTGCTATTTTAATTTATTTATCATATATTTTTGATTAATTTTACTCTAATATTTTATTAATAATTGTTTTTCTTTCTTTTCTTTTCAGATATGTGAATACTTCTTTTATTTTAAATATATATTTATATATATTTTATTATAGCGATATTAAAATATTTTATTTTTTTTATAATTTACATATATATAAATATGTTTGCACTTTGTAGATAAATAAAAATATAAATTATTTTTTTTATTTTTTTGCCAAAAATATTTTGTTTGAACTTGTTATAAATCTTATAAACTTTATGTTTCTTTCTTTTTTATATACTTTTTTTTTTTTATTATTTAATTTGGACTGAACTTTGTTAACCAGACACCTGTTCATATTGTTATGATGTATAGAATTCTGTAAACAATTTTTTTGTACTTTTTCTTATTTTTAATGCTCTAATTTATTTTAATTAGAAAAGTAAATAGCAAAAAGAAGTAAATTGTTGTTTTATATATATTTTCTTTGCTTATGGTTTTAATAAACATAGAAATATATCATTAACTGGAATTGAATGTTATTTTTATTTTGATAGATTGTTGGGTTTGAAGGTATGTTTAAGAATACAATTTGTTTAGAGACAAAATTTATTGTATTGTACCTATTTAAGTTCAATGAATAAAACCACTGGTTTGGAACTAATATATATTCAGCTCTTTAGCCATTGAAATATGCTTCCATTCGAATAGTAGTAATCATTATTTTGCTCAAAAGGTAACTCTAAAGTGGAATATGCCCACGTACCTGTACAACGCGACATGGATGCTAAAAGTTCCTTTCGGGATACCGATTCGTGCTACATAAGCTACAAAAGAGTGAGGGCTATTGTAAAAATAAATAAAAAAATTAGAGCCCCACGTTGGGCGCCATAAATGTGATGGATCTTTTTAAGCGGAAATGGTACTAAGGTGGTTCAGCTACGACTTAGCTCGCCGGATGGGGAGGTTCTTTTTCCGCAGATCTATACATTTAAAATTTGTGTACCATATGCTTTGATTTGAAAACGGAAATTTAATATTTTAAGTAGACAAAAAAGAATAAACAACATTGTAGACGGATGAACTCTTAACATTACCTTGTATTCATTCAATTCGAATTAATTACTATCAGAATTCTACGTCGTGCGAGGATAGATTTTACTCCTCATTGGCTACCCACCCCTTATGACGTATTTCAGTCATCCTTTTTGGTATTTTCTTGCCAATTTATTTGAAAATACCCCAAGAAAGTTTACACGGCTATCTGGCAACCGTTCAGCCCATAATTTTAATATTTTAACACATGTTTACTTCATGTAATCGAATACACATTTTATTATATAGAGTCCTAAACACATTTGTTGTTTAATTTTTTTTATACATTTTGAACAATAACACAATTTTTTTTATTTCTGTTAAATATACGTATCAATAATAATAATTTTTAATACCTATCTATAAAAATATACGATTATATTTATGTTCTAAGCATGCGTTTTTTTTTTAATATTTTCTTTAATTATAAAATTTTAATTATATTTTTTTTAATTTTTTTCTTACATTTTTATTTATTTTAATATCATTTCATTTTTGATTTTTTTTTTTTTAATATTTTTCATATTTTTAAATATGTGTAATAATTGTTTTAAAGGTTATGTTATGCATATATATCCGTATTTTGCCATGTTTTTTGTTTTTTTAGAATCTTTGTTCAACTTTTTGTATTTCTTTTGTCATGCAAAATTAAATTTCAATTATGTCTGTTCCACCCTAATATTCCTCTTAGGCTTAGAAAAAAGTTTGCGCCTTAAGTTATGCTCTGGTGTTTTTTTTTTTTTTAGGTTAAGAGGTTTAATTCACTAGGTTTACACCACGTGCAAGAAAAACTAATATTGAATAGAATTGGTGTACACTATGAATGGTGGATGACAATATATTTGTTTTAAATTTATAAAATTTCCTTTCTCAGCTTTTTAGCAATTTGCTTCGATTTTCCTTTCCTTTTGTTTTATAAATTGATTTCAGGGTCTATTATCTATAGGTTTGTGTACTTACTGCAACAATTTTTAAATACATCAGTTTTGCAAACCACGTGGTGAAAATTTGGTTGTGTCAGAGGTGAGGTAATCTTACCTCGAACTCGCTCGGTATATTGTAGATGTCGTTCGTTATATTATTTGGCGCTTTACCAAGGTAATCCTTGAAGTCAATGATAATTTTAACACAATATCCTGTATTAAATGTAACATTAGTGATTTCATTGAACAAAGAGATACTATTTTTTTGTCTTATGTTTTAAAACGTATGCTTACCCGAGCAGAAACTTTTACACAAAACTCACAATAAAAATAAATCACGACAAATGTATAAAAAATTGTGAGTGCTGCTTTTAGATTCTATTTAATAAAACAGAAATTAATGTAAGAAGGAAATCAATAAAAAAAAAACTGTTTTTATACACACATTAAGTTTGGATTTTTCGTTACAATTTTATTTTGAACTTTTATGGTGAAATTATATTTGTCACCTTGACACTCTGAAACCTTCTGCCAAAAAATTTCTGGATATCAATTTAGGTAACTTTAAGGTGACTTTTATGAAGGTCAGTTCCCACATGGAGTTGAAGTTACAGAGTTGAAATATTGATCTCTTTGCAACTATGGTGGGACTTGAATTCGTGATGCAGTTGCCTTTCAATGTGTATAGATGGCGAAAGCGTATAGCATTGCCACATTAAAAACAATGAACGAAATGTTCATAATTCTATTAATAATATATAATTTTCATATACCTCTTTGTATTAAGAATACCAAAAAAAAAGTTCGAACAGGGGGAAACACATAAATTAATATATTTATATATTAATTAATTAAATAAATTTGGGCATGAAAATATGTACGCTGAGTGATTTCTGTCAGTATGTAGGGTAGGAGATATATTCTGAAACCTACTGTGAAATGATCACACAAGATATAAAGTGGTGTTTTCCAACACTACTACTTTGCCAAATGTCAAAGCAACAATATTTATTCTATAGCAGTGAAAGTTAAAGAAAAGTTTTGCTTACTAAAAAATAAATATAAGAGCAAACATTACAGCCAAGGGTGGCTGTCACATTCTTTTTTACTTGTTCTTGTTGATATTTTGCGTCATTAATTGGAATTTTCTGAGTTTGTATCCAACTTCCAGATGTGGCCATTATCCTTACTAATATGCTACTAATTATCAAATTAATATAGCCCCAATATTAGGTCGGCATGGAAGGTGTCTAAAATTGCCTTGGTTATAAATTATGAATACGCATTTGTGTTAAAAGGAAGTGTGCCACTTTATAATCCAATTAAGTTCATGATGGCAGTTACTCAAATCAAGATCATTTGCCTACTAGTCTCAAATTCGACATTATGTCTGTGATTTTGACACTCATTCTGATGGGCTTACTTCCGTCCTTCTGTTAGGCTATATAATATTTTACTACGTTTTTTAATTTACTTACATATGTATGTACGCATGTTAACTCCGAATTACCCATTCTAAATGACATATATGCAGCGATAAACTTATCTCATTTGGATTTAAGAGCCAATAACACCCTAAACACAAGATAATGAACAATAATGCAGTATTTTGTAACTCCTCAAATGTTTTGACACCAAAAATTGTCTACAAGAATATCTTAAGTGTGTGTGTGCGTGTTAGCCATAAAGGCAAAGCCAACATTAATTATGTTCGACATAAATTATTCACTATACAGATCAACTTCCTACACATGTATGTATATATGTATGTCCGTAAGTCCATTGCAACTAATAACAAAATTACGATAATATAAACCTAATTCTAACGATGTAATTGTGCAATAAAGTAGGTATGTATGCATGTGCTCTGATTGCAGCCATTAATACCTCCATCTGCAAGCTCGTCGGCTTTCTAGAAACTTGGGCGATAAATGAACATTGTTTAAGTACCCAGAAGAAGTCAGATAAGTGTTGTCGCATTATTATTGTTAAATACTGTTAATTAAAAATCGTTCCCTCTTTCTGTAATAAAATAGATTATATGAAACATAACAAATGAAATACTCCTTTGAGATGCAGGGAGGCTAAAAAGCGGTGTATATAAAATCATTCATCACCTTTGCCCCGTCGACAAAGGGAACAAAAACCAAGCGAAGCCAAGTATTTGATACACCACACCACAAGGCAATTTTAATAATCAAGCCCGTAACACACGTTCCTTTGTATTTGGAATTTGTGTGAAGTACACCATACCGAATATAATCTTTATTAAATATATGGTGTGGCTTAAAAGCGGCTAATATTCGGCATTGGATGGATGGTCTCATATCTTAATTAGAATCAATTCAAACTAAATTTTCAAGGAGGCATTTTCTAGCTTTGTGCGGTCTTTCGTAAGATACATCATTGAAATAGAGCGCATGTTACGAATTCTGGAAGGCTAACATTTGTCAATATTAATCTAACTTTCTAAATAATACTTATAAGATGCACACTGAAATCGGGTGAAAATTATATGGGAGCTATATCAAAATTTGAACCTTGAATGAACCAAATGATTTGTGAACAACTTAAAAAGTATCAATCAGTTTAGCCGAGAGATGTATACCCTCAGCCAATGTTCGACTTAGAGAGGTATATATCATTTGATACGGCCAAGACATGCCTCATCGAAATAAAGGTTTAATATCCCTAGGTCTCTTTGGAAAATGGACAATATCGGTTTACTCCACCAAGTACCTCCTCAACAAAGGGTTAAATTTTTGAATAATTATAAAATGGTTTGGTTATTTAGAATTTTGACTATTTGTGGAGGAGGTACCAGAAGGAATGGTCCGATCTCTACCATATTTATACAAATCTTGTGTGTTGATGGAAATATTGAGATGTGCCAAGACTGAATGGCATCGGATGTTAATTTCGTGTTTTATGAGCTTTATGAATTTTCAAATTTTTGACCCTTTGTGGGGAAGGTACCAGAAGAATTCTATCTTCACACCAAACCTTGGGTTAATAAAAATATTGCGATGTGTGCAATTTGTGGATAATCGGACACTTACATCGCATTTTATAAGAGTTATAATTATTCAAAATTTTGACCCCTTGTGTGGGAGGTACTTGATGGTGTGGACCGATATTGCCCATCTCCGACCTCGATCTAAGTTTAATAATAATATTAAACCGTCACACGCTGCCCGAATGTTGCTCTGAGGTGAAGCGCTTGCTTCCGGCGAAGCGCTTGCTTGAGGTGATCGACACTTTGGTATTTTTTAGTGCCAACCTTGCTTTCCAAAATACTCCAGACACAATAGTCCAACGGATTGGTATCCGGAAAATTCGATGGCCATTGTGCTCTGGAAAAGAAGCGAGAAACTTCATTCTGTAACCATTCTTGGGTGGCACGTGCTGAGTGCGATGGTGCTGAGTCCTGTAGGAATGTCCAGGGTCTGCGGCCAAATTGTTT